CGTTCTTTCTTCCAGTTTCTCAGCCGGGAGTCCAACTGTGTGGTGCTTGCCATTCCAAATAAAGCCAAGAAATTTTTGTTCAGTACTAAACTCGTGATTCTTTACTGGATTAGTTCGCACGCCCATCGAATTACTCAGATTGGTGACATGCTCTAGCGACTCCATCTTTCCTGGCCTTCTGAACAGAAGATTATCATCAACCCATCAAAAGATTGCTGGGAAGCCTAACTCGACCATCATTATCGTTTTCCAGGTTTCGGCCGGCGCCCCGAAGACCCCGCAACTTGCTACACCTCCGAAGCCAACCGCTAAGTCTATCCACAACCATCGTTTGAAATCCATAATTATTAAGAACTTTCTCTGACTATGGTGTACCGGCAACTGTCTGTACGCCTTCGCCCAGTCAAACACTGCCATCTCCCATTCCCCTGGATTTAATCTAAAGAATTTCGAGACTGTCTTAAAATCATCCCAAGTGGTCTCATAGTTCATTTTATCTACAAATGAGTTCACAGAAGGTAAGTTTGCATCTCCTTTTGGATACGAGAGATCATTGATCAAACGAATGGAGCCGTCTCCATTCACTGCGCTCCCCATCGGATTTGAGCGAAAGAATCCAAATCTGGCATATAGTTGATCGTGAGTGAAAGGTCCCACAATCCTTCCTTCCGCATGTTCTTTTGCTAACGTTCTCTCAATTTGATCTTTTGCGTCCAGTGCCGAGGAATGATTTTCCGGGGTGTACCATTTTTTGTCACCTAACGAGTGAGGCGGAATGCCCAAACAAAAGCCTTCCGTGAAACCATCTAAGATATACTGTACGTCTTCCCCTAGCCCAGCTTTTTCCATCAACGTCCTCCACTTCTCGATAACCATGTTGCACTTGACCCTCGTTGGCCACTGACTCGCCTCCTTTACCTTGAACAGTTTTCTCTCCCTCAGCGGCAGGACTGACTTCTTCGACATCTCGTATTCTGAGTCATCCGACTCGTCCGAGCTCTCCTGCTCTCCTACTACGTCTTCATGGACTTCCTTCACACCACTGGTGTCATGATGTCCTCTTACCCGGTCTTCACGGTGGGGCTCATCTCTCTCCCCCGTTGCCTTATCTTCTTTCCTCTGTGGTTCACTTAGGTTGAGTTGTTCTAGGACCCAGGAACGAGGACCTATGGGGCTACCATCTAACGCGGCGGCAAACATGTCACATTTCATATCCATCAAAGCCATGGAAGAAGACAAAACAAATCATTTCAGAACGCTCCTCTATATAGTTTCACTATGTCTGCTTCATTTCTCAAGACCAGAACTGAGACTAGAATCTTAAACCGGAACATACATGACAACAAGTGTAAAAACAAGAGAAATGCACCGCATCCGAGAACAAGATACAAAGAAGAAAAACCACGTCCCCCACGAGCGATTTTAAACCGATTCAAGGTAGAAATTGAATGTCTCAGTCAGTACTAAGTACATTTCTCCCATTCTGTGAACTCGTGCTTACCAATTGTTCGCATTGTGGGCTTTCTGTTTCCCTTTTTGGTTATTCGGGTGTTTAATAGCGTGTTGCTGGCCATGAGCTACCCAGTCTTGACCACTATTGCTCGCGTACGCATTGTTTTGCGGATATTGATGGGCGAACTGAGCATAATGAGGTACGTGAGTTTGGTTACCCTGAAACCCCTGAAAGGACTGGAACCTATTCTGGAACTGATACCCTCCATTTCCTCCACCATGACCCCTATTACCCCCTCTCTTCTTCTTAAACAATTTACCAAACGCAACACTACTACCTGCCCCTTTGTCTCCGTGTTGAGGCTCTAACTGCGGTTTGTAGTTGGAGGACGACACTTGCTGACCCGTATATAAATCAAAACCATACTTCGGCTGACCTGGGGCGTATGGGTTTTCTTCGTACATCAAGTCACCAGCGGTTTCTGCATCCCACCTAGCTCTCCTTACCGCCTCTTCTTGGACACCCTCAGGTAAGAGAACCTTTTCTACCTTCCTTCCTTTTTTCCCATTCTTCTTTTTCCGATAAACGCACTTTGATCGTTTCCTGAAGATGAGTGACCGAATTGCTAAATGATATCGCAAACCGATCATCCAACACTTGTGGCGGACCAGCAAGTCATTCACCACTTCCTTATGCTTACGGATGTACTTCGCATACGCCTCATGACCGTACAGTTCTCCAGCGTACCTGGCCTCCAAGTCGCAAGCTAAGATAAACTCTCCAAACGTCATCTGACGTTCTAGGTCTCGTTCTGAGGTCGATAAAGTGGGTCGCTTCCTTTTCTTCGAACCATCGTCTACTGAGGAATTGTGTGCCTCGATATAAGATCGTTTAAAGACCGACAAGGGAACGTATCTTTTGAGCTTTTTGAAGCATTTGTCCCAATGCTCCGGGAGATCAGGGAGGTCTAGTCCTGGGATCTTCTTGAACTGCTCAAACTCGACATTCTTTTTGGATATCAACTCCATACCTCCCTCTGATGCTGAGGAGGACCTAGAGGAATCTGAAGACCCTGACGATGATGATGAAGAACTCGACGAATCTGATTCTGAACTCGAGTCCGATCCTGAGGACAAAGAGGATGAGTCACCCGAGCTCCCTGAGCTGGAAGAGGACGAGCTTGAGCTAGCTGTCGAAGGTGAGCGGGTTCTTTTCTTTCTCTTCTTCCCCTTTGGTTTCTTTGACTCTCCTTCCTTCTTCTTTCTCGCCTCTTCCTTCTTTTTAAATTTCTTAAACTTTTTATCTCTCTCTCTACCTTCCTTCTCCTCCACTTCCTCCTGTCTCTTTCTTAACTTCTCCTCCTCAACCATTTCCCTCCTTAAGATTAGCACCGCCTGCATATCCAAGTTGTCAATGGCTTCTACCAACCTGTCCACTAACGGGCGTCCATCCTTGACTTTCCTGTCCGAATTCGACTGGCTTACTAGGCCTGTGGGTTGCGATGAAGGCCCCGGTAACTGATCAGTATTCATTGATCCAGTGTTGCCCAGCGAGCCTACTGAAACCACGAGCATGCAAGTCTATCAGTCACTGAAGTGAAACTCCACTGCTCTCATCTTTTAAGGAAAGGATTAAAAGGTATTTGGAGTAATTCTTCTATCTTTCTGGGCTTTCCTACCCTTGCTACAACGAATTATTCGGAGCTGTGTTAACTCTCCTATCCCCCTTTCTAGTCAAACTGATTTCAGGATTTCCCTCTCCTACCCTTTTTGGGGAGCTCTGGAAGCTGCAACCACATCTTTCGAATTCAAGAATTGGGGGGAGGGTCCGTCAGGAGCTGCTAGGCTACAACTAACTACAGGTTAGTTTAGATCTAACCCTAGGAGCGTATCGCTACAACTATGTGAGAGGGGGGGGGGCGAGGAAACCATCGTCCTGCAGGAGCCTATCAAGGCTGCTACTGCCATCTTGGGGGGGGAATACAGATAGCTAGAGAGGAAATTGTAAGTCTGAAATCTGGAACTCACCCTGATCATATTCGATCAACCCAACATAAAGTTCTTTCCTTCCTCTAATGCTACCATCTTCATTCAAAGGACTCTTCTTTCTTTTTCCCTTTTTTCCTTTTGCCTTCTTTCCTTTCTTGCTTACCCCCTCCGCCTTCTTCTCCATGCTTATTTCCTCCTCCTCTGACTCCTCTTCCGATGAACTGATTCCATGCACCTCCCTTTCCAATCCCTCTTTCCCTTCACCTAAACTTCCTTCCACCTTGTCTTTAGGCACCGAACCCTGACTTCCTTCATTCGGCCTTTCTAATTGATTCTTGAGCGGCGAGCCTATGATGGAGCTGTTCACCAATGGATCTCTCGAGCTTGCTCGTCGTTCTCTTTCTTCCGCCTGTCCTTTCAGTTTAAGCGCGTGCATCTTCTTCTTTTCTACTTCTAGATTTGCTTGTTCTATCATCTTCTGTGATTGATACTGTAACGATGTGTTTTTAGGTTTAAGTTTCCTCCACATCCAATCTTGGTGTCGTATTTATGAGATTATTTTGTTGTTAGGTGTGATGATAGAGACTTTGAAAATTCAAATCTGAGAAAAAGAGAGAGAGAGAGTTGCACTACTACTATCTAGGATTGACAGGAATCAACACAGGAGAGGAATTTGGTTGAGGTTTGAGAGGAGAAAATTTTCCTCTCCTCAATCTTCCAAATTCACTGGTGGAAGAGGTGTCAACTCTTCCACAGGCGTGTAATCTCTCCTGTTGACCTGTCACTCGTACTTCACCTCTAGAATGGAATTCAGTGTACCTTTGCAAGCTTTGGAACACTACCAATATTGTTATCTCAGCTTAGCACTGTTTCTTCTTGTTGTTGTTTTCTTATGAACCTTTCTTGATTTTGTCTTTCATCCTTCGATTGAATTGAAATTGTTTCCATCATAGATGATCGTTGGAACTTTTGATCCAATCTTCAAGATTCATCTAATTTTCTTGATCATTTGAGATTGAAATATCTTATCACCATCTTACTCACAACCCCCTGCTCGGAAATAGTCCAACTATCTTACTACTTGCGACTCGAGAGTTTTTCTTTGATGATTGCCAATTGTTGAGTTCCGAAGTCGACACGAGTGCCAAGCAGCGCCAAGGCAATAGGTTATAAAATAAACCAAACTATATAAGATACAATCAAGTCATGCAATTCACCGTCACTGTCCGTTGTTCTTTCCTTTGAATTGCGCAAATTCAGAGGTGGATTTCAGTTCTTGACAAGTTTGATCACGCCTTGAGGACCCAGGAGTGAAAAGAGTGACAAGTTGCTCAACCAAGCCCTCTGCCGCGGCCGCGTTCGCGCCCTGAGATCCACTCCACAAAACTCAATTTCCCGATATCCTTCTTGCTGATAATTTTGATCCTTTTGCACTCCACAGCAATCAAATAATAACACCGTCATGATGAATTTCAATCACCATACAGTTACTCATCATCCATTCGTTTCACTCCTATCATACATACTTTTCACAAAATCTCAAATCATTGAAGTTCAAAATGAATATGACACTCTACAGTTCCCAGCTCCCAGCCGCATATCCAGATGGTTTGGGAATTCCACTCGCACCTCAAGCTATACTCAACATAGGCTATCCTAATGTTGACATATACCCTGGTCACCTTTACAATAAGTTAGGTACATATGTATTTTCGAACTTGACCTTTTTTTTAGAAAACATTCTCAATTTTCTCAACTTTGTCTAAACAGAATTCCTTTCGCTTTTTAGATGTTTCCACCATGCCTACTATCAGCGTCAGTCCTGTGACCACTACTGTGAAAAACTTTACAGCCCCCAATGTCTTTACACTCCTCATGTCAGACACCAATACGCTTGGAAAACCTGATGCACAGTTAGTATTCTCACTTTGCATTGTGATTTCAATATTCTCTTTCTACTACCTATCTAAATAACAGTTGCTTTTCTACTGAATGTGCACTACAACCAAACCCCTCGTAGAGGAAGTTTTCGTCATTTCCTTGCAAATGTGTAAAGGACCTCTGAAGTCCTCACTACTTTAATCTTACTTTGTTCAAACTGTTAACGGGATGTGAGGGAACTGAGAATCACGTAGTGATCTCGACTGATTTTTCTAGAACCAAACTATGCAAGCTTATATTGTCTAACTCCAAAGAGATAAAATCTAATCAGTCTAGATTCCCTGAGCGGGTACAAGATATAGAAAGAAAGAAATAGTATAAGATAAATAGAAATGGTTTATTTGCTCACCTAACTCCAAAGAGATAAAATCTAATCAGTCTAGATTCCCTGAGGAGTTAGTGTTCTACGAGTCAAGAGATATTAAAAAGGTCATGTAATTAAGTATAAGAATATATGTTTGTAATGGAGTCTTCGACGACATTACAAAATGGTGTGACCTTTGATGATCCTTATCAAAACAATTCCTTTGAGGTGGACGTCAATGAAGAATCAGGAACCTTGGTAACTCCTTACATGGGGCCCGATCCACTTCCCAAGACAGGAGAACATCGTTATGCGTGGCTCTTGTTTGCTCAACCATTGGGATTTAAGGCTCCTGCAGACTTATCAATTAATGCTGGACCAGGGTATTGGGACTTGATGTCATATGTGGCTACAACTGGATTAGGTGATCTAGTAGCTGCGAATTTTTTTAGCATCCAGTTTGTCTTCTGTTTAATTTTCTCGTACCTTTTTTTGATGATCAGATCCATGTTGAAAGTTCTGTTCTCTTTGGTTTAGAAATACAAATGCCACTTCGGATTCCGCACCCGCACCCGCATCTGCTATGGCCGAAACCAACAATTCTACTGCTTTTCAATCTCCTCAAGAGTTTGCTGCATCTCTAAGAGCTAAAAAGAATTTGGCACAGGGTCAACATGCCCATTTGACTGATTTGATCAAAGGTCTTGTTATCGCAATTGGAATCTATTGCATGAGTTCCTTACTGGTTTAATGAACCTTTCATTAAAATCGAGTCATATTGAAAAACTGAACAACTATCTTTCATATCTTCCTACAATCTCTTTGTCAAAATTTCAACGATGATTACGACAATTTCTAGCTTTTGTTTCTTTTCTGGCAAGCTCACATCAACATTTTAATTTAGCATACTTTTTTTCTTTTCATCAAATCTTAGGGATCTCGTTATTTTTTCTTTTCCATACCATCGAAATGGAAAATGTTTTGCAGCCACTATTCCTCAATGGTCTCAAAGTGGTTCAATACAATATCAACTTTATTTATCTTTCAAATGAGGTCGTTTTGAGATAAAACATAATGCAGTGATGTATTCCGAAGAAGTGGAAGCGTTGGGATATGCGAAGTTCGCTTTGAATTTTGCGATGATCGAGATATCCGTAGCGCCGATAGCCCGGGCAATTCAGAACCACAAATAGGGCAACATCAGCATGGGTGGGCGTCTTCTAATGGTTAGGAAACCTCGTTGTGGTCAAACAACTCCGTGGAAATATCGGTTCGATTCCGGTCGCCCACAAATATCTTTTGCTTCTCGGGGTTACCTCAAGATATCTTCGAGGGAAATCAAAGATTGCGACTTCCTGTTTAGGTGAACTCGTTTTGAAAATTTGGATGAGCGAAGTCAAGTTTGGTTACTCTGACTTAAGCTCACACGGTCCGACCGATCCAGCGAGGGAATCGCCCAAAAAGGGTTACAGATGCTGCCGACTGATAAGTTTACTGCCGACACCTGTCGAGAGTCGACGCACGCGGGCTCTTTCGATCATAAAAAGCTTGTACATATGTTGACGAGAGTCGTCCACTCTCAAAACGAGCAGAACATAGCTTTACCCCGAGTTTCCACCTAGCTACTGGCTTCGCTTTCGTGCAACAGCGTGGCACTTTGGTAGATCCTCTGTGCGTTCTCGGACAAAAGTCACTGCACGTGATGGCCTTGATCAGCAAGCTTCAGCGTGTGTCGAGCTGTGTCGAGGTCCCATCGTCCTGATGACGCTGTAAAAAATTGTGCAAAGAAAAAATAGCCCTCAGGCCTCTGCGTGGCGATGTAGTGGCGATGTAGTGGCGATGCAATATTTGGGATGCTTAAAAAGTCCCCACTGTGCGAGTTGCAAAGATTCCTTTGCATACGAGCCAGTTTCCTCGAATCGACAATCTAACTAAAAGATCCAATAAAGCTCGATTCATCAAAACTAAACCACTCTAACCATGCTCTCAATCAAATCTACCTTCGTTGTAGCGATCGGACTTATTCTCGTTAACCAAGCTGCTGCTTATAAAGGATGGGGAGATCCAGCTTGCTCTGAGGCTTCTGAGATCACAGGATCAGACTGTCATGCGTGAGTTTCCATTTGACCATCGTACCACAAAGTCAACAACTGAACTTCTCTTGTTATACAAAAGCGCACTCAAACAATTCTTTGAGACTTCGGGTGTTTATACCTCTGTACAAGCAGGCGACTCTGTCAAAAGTTTTGGTACTTGTTCGGTAAGTCATTTGATCAAAAAAACTCAAATCCTCAAAGTAGCTGTAAATTCAATGAAATTTTTATGTCCACCATACATACATAGGTTACTCTCAACGTACCCAAGGAGGGTTGTCAAGTGTAAGTTCAATCACACAACTAAATCCACAAAGGTCTAGATATTTGTACTTACCAAAACTTACGAATTCTTTCTGTGCTATGAAAATACAGAGGTCAGGAATATTTGATTAGTGGAGAAAATCCAAAGCTCAAGGAATTAGGAGGAGACAGAGGTGGAATGGGTTATTTAATAAGCAAATGTATTGATAACAAAAAGGTAAGATCAAAGCTTGGTTTACCTCTTTTCAAGACTAGCAAAATCTTCAACAAAGCAAAGAATTCTGATTTTGATTTCCAATCTTTGTACTTTGCAAACACAATAGAGTGGAGACGTACTGATCTTTTCAGACCCAGCCTTCTCAGATCCTGGTGGCCGTGCCGTTTCTTGTTCATGGCGAATCAAAATTGCTCAAAACCAGGGATGAGATTGCTTCATTTGATCTGATCCCAAAGCCTGAGTACACTATTTTTTGTCTAGTTGTGTGCTTAACACAAGTGTTCTATGATTCACTACAATTCGATGTATCTGTTGGCTATTTCCCTTTTCCTTCCTCCTGTTCTTTTCAGTGTTGTTATCAGTGGTATTCATTGTTATAAGCAGTGCCATGATCTGATGGTTCCATAAACTGGGCATGAATACCTTTTCTCTATGTGATCTTTTCTCTTTCTATCATCCATGTTTTCAATGTTCTTATAGGTTGTTTTTGTTGTTAATAGCAATTACATGATGTGACACTTTAGAATCTTGCTTTCACAATCAGGATACATCAAGTCTTTTCCATCCTTGCAGCTGCCTTGTGTTTTGTGAGGAGATTTCACAAGTCAACTTTACTATGATTTTTTTCTTTGTTTGGATTGCCAATTATGAACTTCAAGTTTCCTAAGATGCGTTCACTTAAGTGATTTCTGTTGAGAAATCACATTCTGCAAAATTTAAAGTGTCTATTTGGTGGTGCATGTTTCATTCTTGCATTAATTTTTTTTACAAAATGTGATTTATGGTCAGAAAATCCTGTGAACACACCCTTACACTACACCAAATGACATCTTTTCCCAGGGGTATAGAAAAGTGGTGTGTATGGAGAAAACTATGGGTAGAGTACTTTTCTATACCCATAAAGATCAAATCATCTATTTCCATACAAACCATTCTGTTCTATACCCACAGATAACAACTCACTATACCCATGTGAAATACATTTAAATCTATAACCAAACTGCTTCTCAAGCCTCATCCAACAGGAAAGTGTGATCAACCAGTGATGATTCATGTAAATGGCACCTGTCAACCTGTGCAAGGTTGTACATACATGTTCACATGCACTGCTGAGAATTCATAAGAATATAGTGGGTAGTGCCTAAAAGCGTGAAATTGGGTATTTTGAGAAAAACGTTTATAAAACCCACAAAATTGATCCAATTTTGATGCTGAGGGCAGATTTGGAATCCTCACATCAATAGCAATCCAAAATTGTATTGAACATATTGTTTGTAACAATTTTTACAGTAGAGAAAGTTCTTTTCACACAATGGAGTTTTTGATAAATCAGCTTTTTGGCCGGCCCAACATTACACGCTTTTAGACACTACTCACTATATCTTTTGTGAGCATAGATCAAATGTCAAAAAAATGGGAACTCAAGATCCTGTGTACTGTGGTAAGCTTCACTTAGTCCCTAGCCTTGGGCCTTTGGTGAGGGAATTAGTTAAGTTGGACACTGTGGTGGCTTCTTTTGGGTCTGAATACATACAGCTAAACCAGCTCAAATGAAGACACTCAATTGCCCAATCTCAAACTTTTTACATGGGTATATCAAAATAAATGTTTCATGGGTATAGAAAAGTACCCTACCCATAGTTTTCTATGCACATATTACTTTTCTATACCCTTGGGAAAAGATGTCATTTGATGTAGTGTTAATCTCTGTTCTATCTTTATAGTTTAAAGGCAGGAACCTCTGTTACATAATCACATGCACACACTTCCTAAAGCTACATTGATTTACAAATTGAAGGTGTGGTAACACAACCAGAATAAAGGTTTTACTCATTCATCTCATTGCTTGCATTCTGATCAGAACTTTGCTTTCAGACATTCTACTAAGATCACCATGCTCTACTACATACAAACCCTGGCAGAATTGGAAGAAAAATATTGTGTTCTGGCCGTTTCATATAAACCTTCTACTGCATATGTATATATCCTGACAGTGAAGTTTGTATATATGTAGACTTGAAAGGAGGTTCAAGGGAATTCACACAACACACCATAGGGTCCTTTTGTGTCCAAAGACCCACTCAAAATAAATCATGTCAATAAGCCAGAGGTAAAGTCAGATAAGAAACCCTGCAATCCCACTGAGCAAGAAAACAACTGTCATGGTTGGTTATTTTGGTAGTCAATTGATCAATCTTTTGGCAGGCAAAAAGATGAAATCAAATTTTGGTTTTCACACTACTGTAACTCCATAGATGTGGTGACCTCTGCAGGTTTCTTGTTCTGAGAACAGGAGAGCTCCTCAAGTACATTTCTGGTCTTGGAAACCTGGCAGATCTTTATCAATATCTGTCCTCCCCTACATGGGGTGAGCGGAGTGGTCATGGTGAAAACTGGATACATATTCAATAAGTTGGTAATTTGATACCAACATATTTTTCACCCAGATGACCAGGATATGTATGTGAATACCCAAGCTGTTAAGCAGAATGAGAATGGCATGTGATACAACAACACTTTGAGTATGTAAGTCTTAGATTGAAGCTAACACTGCAGAAATGAATTAGTTCAAAATCTGAGTAAGTAAAGTTTTGGTGTCTGAGTCCAAAACTCTCCTTAATCACTGATATTGTTCACATCTTGTTCACAGGTTTCTCTTGAGAACTCACTTTGATCACTTTGTCCCCACTGAGGTCCTTTGTTTGGTCTCTACCATGTTGATCACGGACAAAGATCCTTCTTGAAGACCTTTGACTGGTAAAGACTGTAAAAATTTACGGTGCTCAAAGCAAGTATGTAAATCTACATACTTTTTTTTGGCAGGGAAAATACTTTGAAAATACTTCTTTGTTTTTTCCCCGCCAAAAAAAACTATGTACAACAACTATGTATGCACACATATGTAGCTTTGAGTACCGTAATTACTACCTTTTCTAAAAAGCTTCCCCAGGTCTGAGAGACAAGAGAAGCCAAATTTGGCTGCAGCCTGCTGCAAAGCCCCTGCGCAGCTCAAATCCAAAATCTGCCCAATCACAAATTTTCAAAGAGACTGACTCAACCTGCTGATCTTTGGCTTTGAGATATCTTGAGATCAATCATAAAGCACACATATCTAGCTCCTAATGTTTAAATCAAGCATACATCTGGTTTATACAACTTCTTTCAGGCTGCAAGTGGGATCAAAGCTCACTTTACTTTGCCAACAGAAAAGCAAAAGTGGTTGGATGCAGTATAATGATGTATGACTGTTGGTACATGGTCGGGCTTGATACCATGGGTTCAAGGCTGACGGTTTGACTCTTTTTGCTAAAATTTTGCATTGAGCTCAAGGTTCACATCTTGTATACATGTCAGTTTGATCATTGTCCTATCGCACCTTACTTGAGCTCTTGACTGGGCAAGAAGAATAAAAAAAATTGTGAAAAAGAAAACAGGTTTTTTTTCACTGAGACTAAAATGAAAAAGCACAAAGGAACACAAAGGCTCAAACATGCTAAAATCAAATCCAAACCACGGAGATCACTGCACCAAACCACTGAAACAGATAGACTGTAACCAAAAGGTAATGTGCATCCTTCATATCATTGAATGAAAGCTGGGCTCCGCTGCATGATTGATCAGGTATTACCAAGCTCTAAACATATTGTAAGCATGGTTATAATGAGTCTCAGAATGTTGCAAAGACAGACACCATCAGCTCAACTTGACTTTGTTGGAAAATTGTGATCAGCCAAATTTGGAATCTTGGCCTCACTCACAGCAGGCTGCAGCCACATTTGACTTCTCTTGTCTCTCAGACCTGGGCAAGCTTTTTAGCAAAGGTAGTATACATTATCACCAAGTGAGATTGGGAAAATGATTGAAATTGTAGTTTTTCATGAAAAGACATCTCACTGCACACCTGAGCCATAGCTTCCACACTACATATGTGCAGCAGGATGGGAAAATTGAGAGCTATCATTTACATACAGAGCTGCTCAGCTATTGGCTCATCTGAATAAGGATATCATATGTAATACCTTCTGTAATTTTTTTCAGCTTGACAACAGCATTCCAAAAATTGACTACATACACTGACTCATATTTTTGGTGTAATTCCATTGTATAAATTTCATGTACAACTCTCTCTGTTGCTGTTGAATGGCTTTCTGAGTATCTTCTGAGTACATAGCTACAGAGGTATACATAGTCAATTTTTGGGACAATTTTGGTCAACTGGAAAGAGTTACATGATGTATCACATGTGATTTACTTCTTCAGATGAGCAGGGAACTGAGCAGACCTGTATGTACATGATAGCTAATAATTTACCCAGCTTGTTGCACATATGAAGTGTGGGTCTTATGGTTCAGGTGTGCAGTGATAGATCTTTTGATGACAAACTACAATAATGATCATTTTCCCAGTTCCACTTGGGGATAGTGTATAATGTTTACAGTGCTCATAGTCCGCGCTCAAGGTGACACCCATGCCAACTTTTTTCAGGCCACCCACAGGTCAGGGTGAGCCCAACAGCCTCAAGTCAACCTGAGCCTGAGAGCACTTTGGGCTGGCCCAATAGCCCAATCTGTACATTTTGTGTGTGTTAGGACTGGTGTTTGTGTGTTGCAAGTTCTTTGTTATGTGCCAGATATTTTGATGTTATTGAAAATCTTGACCTTTCTAGTATGTATGAATTCAATTTCTTTGAACAATAAGCCAGAAAACACCGGGTACTCCAAAGGCCGCTTGATCTTCTGGTAGGCTACCCCCTGGCCAGGTGCCACTTAGTCTGTGCCCAGTCACACTGGAACCAAGTCAAAAATGTACGGTGGTCAAGGAGCGCCAAATGTGCCAAAACCTCAAAATTCAAAAATCACACTTGAAACTCACCCTGAAAGCCCGACCAAGCGTATCCCAACCCCAGTCTGTGGTGCCGGGGTCATTTCTCCAGGAGTCCAGATGGCAGCCAGCCTCAGACAGCTTGATGTAAATCAACTTCATCAATTCTTCAGATCAATCATGTCTGCCACCAATGTTACTTTGAAAGAACTTGGTCAGTACTTAAAGAAACATCATTATCTTGAATAAGACTGTTACCATGAATACAGCGAGAAATATCATGATGCTTGTAAAAACTTGATTGTTCCTTTGGATTAGTCAAAGCTGCCACAAATGTTGCTTTTGAATCATTGTACTTACTATCCTAGTGTAACTCTAAAAAAACATATGTTTTGATTAACCAATCACACAATGAATCAAATGGTCAAGAGGCTTGTGAAAATCATACTCTGATAAACGACAACTGGAGTAGATCATGAGCGGACTAATTACAAGTCTTTTACAAGGGTCACTTTAACAATTCCTTCACTGTGATCTGGAAAGTAAAAATTGGCAAGGACTGATATTTATAACATGATTGATCTTCAAACAGATGTGAAAGGAAAGATTTTCAAAAAAAAATCAACAGGATTTAAGAGGAGGATCTGGTCCAGCGCCACGAACTGGGGTCGGGATATGCTCGGCGGGGCTTTCAGGGTGAGTTTGAAGTGTAATTTTTTCATCTTGAGGTTTTGGCGCATTTGGCGCTCCTTGGCCACTGTACAAATGCCCTGCAAGCATGTGCCCAATTTTTTTGGCTTGATAAACAAAAAAATCAAGCTTCTTCTTCTTCAAACCTAGGCCCATCATAGCTCTTTCTGATGTCCAAGTAGTCTTACATAGCCTTGATATAAATCTTGATATGCATTTAATGGCAATATAGTTTGGCAACATTGCATTCTGACCACATCTTTGCATCTATGAAGCATTCAAGGTGGCCCTGAGTAGTTTTTGGCTTCCCTCAGGTCTATTCGCGGCCAGATGTGGCCACGTGGCCTGCCCTGAGGTACCAGGGCCGGGTCACAGCCCACGGATTCAATTGGCAGCCCCAATCGAATCTGTGGGCTGTGTAGGTCAAGAAGTGGTGTGATGAATTTAATTTTGATGGATTTCCAATCAAAAGCTGTGCAAAATCACCAAGACCATCGATCAATTCTCAACAAAGAACAAAGAAGACTTCATTAATCTACTTGTTCAATCACAATCAATCATCAAATAAACTCACTCAGCTCATCATTTCTTAACTTCAATGTTAGATGCAAACCTATATACTCTAAGTTTTATTCAATCAGTCAATGAACCTAATAAATTAGTTTTAATTGAAGAAGGAACTGGTGAGCCAGTTTATTATCGTACACGTTCTTCTCATGAACAGGTTTGTATGAATTCCCAAAGAACCGAAAAACAAATCATCATCAAACAAAACAAAACCAAGTAAAAATTCAAACTAACGATATCGATTCTTCTTTACTCTTTAGGATCAACTTAAATTAGACTTATTTCATTCACTTACGAATGCACATTTAGCAAGCTTACAAAATTTGAATCATAAACTAAAATTAATTTCTTTATACAATCCTAACCTACCTATCGAATTAAAAAATTCAAGTTTGATTCATTGGGAATGGACTTTTACATTTACTACTAATAGTAATGGAAACGGAAAGGGAAAGGGAAAGGGAAAGGGAAATGAAGATGGAAAAGATCAAGAAGAAAGGTTTAAATTTTCTTGGAAACGTGATCTTTTAGGATTAAAATCAAATCGAAAAGGATTAGGTTATACATGTTGGTTAGTAAGTTATTTTTTCGTTTCTTTTCTTCATTTTTGATTTTGAAGTTTTGAAGTTTTGATGAATTGATGAATTATCAAATGGATTTTTCTTAATTTTGATGTGTAGATCAGAAAACCAGATCCAGATTATCCATGTGCGATTTACAAACCTAAAACTTCAAATCAACCAGCAATATGTCAAATCCTAGATTTCAATATCCAAAGAATTGAAGGAATTCAAGATAAGAAAGGTAAAGTAATCTTTTTAACAAAACAAAAAAAAGTATCAGATCTAATGAATTCATTCTCGTTTTTTTTTTTCATTTTGACTTTCGCTTTGAATTGGTTGATGAAAGTTTAGGACTTGAAATCGTGATGATCTTATCACTTCTTGCATTTACAGAACCGATCACTGATCACGAATTTCGGAAACCCAAACCAACCAATTCACCAGACCAAACTCCATCTCAAGCTCCAGTTCCAATTCAACCCTTAACATCAACAGAAGCCAATCGAATCCTAAACGATGATGTAAATAAACATCCAATCTTCCATTCTTTTCCAAATCATTATTAATTCATCAAAAGACTAATATAAAGTTTGGTTGATAAATTCAGGTGGAACCTAATGAGATCTTAATCAATGAAGAAGAACCGATCGACAGATTTATCCAAACCGGACTCAAACTCTTATCAGATCCACTTTTGGTATACATATATATCCATGCCTCTACACCTAAAACGATACCCATGGCAGTTAAAGTAGCCGAATCGATCAAACGAACTCGGTTTAAAGACTTTCAAGAAGACTTACAACAATATTTAATGGATGATATCATGAGGTAATCGATCATCTACATCTCATCATTCTTCTAGCCGAACAAAACTAAAACCCAAGAATCTGACAAACTAATTCGACTTTTGAATTTATCGAAAATTTCAGTCGGAATTTAAAAGGTAAAGGTAACCAATCCATCAATGATCAGAAACCAACTTCAAATACACTTAAGATTTATTTATCAAGGACTCCATTAGATGAATTATTACCAAAACCAAACTTGAAATCGAAATCAAATCCTTCCAAACCACCCATTAAACCACCCAAAACTTTAAATGGTGTTCATACTTCTAAACCTCCTGGATCAAATAAAAAACTAATACATAAGAAAGTTTGAAAAATGTGACGTAGGAAATGATCAAGCGGAGAAGTTTTGGTAGTTTCGGTTTATATGCTGATTTCTTTTATATTCTTATAAGTTCTTGTAGCATTGTGTTTTCTGTTTAGGATAGAATGGAAAAGAGAGAGATTCTTCTGATTTGAAAACCAACTTGGATTTTCGTGTGTGTGTTTTTTCTTTTCTTTTTACTTTGAATCTATATATGTATATGATTTTAACTATGATGAATAATCCGAAACATGAAATGTATGGTGATATATACCTATCGATAGCTTGAAAATCAATACTTCTTGGTAAGAGTAAGTTTAATTTGACATATTTCAAGGTTGAACCAAGAACTTCAGTATAAGTTGTAATAAAGTCACTTGTACTTCACTGGTTTTTTTCTTATCTGAATTCCTTGATTAATTATAACGTATGTACAATTTCAAGTTACGAGTTAAAGATCATGTTTTGATTTTGATTGTAAAGGTTGTCTTTGTTGGATTGAATTTGATATGTAGTGACATGATGGAAAGAGAGTGATTGAAGATGTGTTCAAAGAACTGGCAAAGAGAAAGAAAGCAACTGGCAACAAGGCGATGAAGTAAAATCCAATTTGAATATGATTCATTTGTAATGAATGGCAAAATGCTGAGAAACTTTCAAATCCAAACCAAATTGAACCAAATGACTGAGTAGCACTTTAAATAGCCAGAGCCAACTGTTTCTCTTCAACATCTGATTCGAACTTCAACAATCCATTTCATCATCCATCATGAAAGAAATCATAGAAACTTACCACACCAATTTCTTATTTCTTTCGATCATTCTCATCCCTACTCTACTTCTATTCCAAGATACCCTTTCATACTATTATCAAAAGATCTTTTATCCCAATCGAATTCCAATCAAACCTTTACCAGGTCCGAAAGGTTTACCGATCATTGGTAACTTATTATCAATTCCATCTCAAACACCTTGGATTAAGTTAACTGAATGGAGTCGAGAGTTTGGTAAATATTGATCATCAATGGATAATCATGTTTAGAAAAGTCAAAAGTTAATCCCATCTTCTTGTAAAATTGTAGGTCCGATTTATCGTCTTAAACTAGGCTTCACTACACTTGTGGTAAGTCAAACTATCAACCCATCACCCTCACCATGAAACCTCCTAATCCGATGGTGTGGTCTTGATCTAGGTCATCAGTTCACCCGCTATAGCCATTGAATTATTAGAAAAACGATCATCGATTTATTCATCTAGACCACGACATATAATGACATCTGAACACGTCTCACATGGTTTAAGAATGACCTTTATGCCCTATAATGATCTTTGGCGTCGTGAAAGGAAATTACTTAATCAACTTACTCAACCTAGAGTGGCATCTACCTATGAACCTATCCAACTTCAAGAATCGGCTCAATTAGTTTTAGATTTAATTAATCATCCTACTCAACATCACGCTCATGCTTTACGGTTTGTCTTTCTTCTTGACTCTCTTCTTGATTTGGATTTGGTAAATTCTTATGTCACTTTCTGAATTCGATCTTTTTCAAAACAAAAAGGTATGCAGGTTCAACAGTTTTACAAATCGCTTTTAATAGAAGAGCTCAAAACAATCAAGACAAATCCATCACTCGAATGAGAAAATGTAATTCCCAAATGGTTCGTACAGCCGTACCTGGTTCATACTTGGTAGATTCGATTCCGATCTTAAACTATTTACCATACTTTCTTTCACCTTGGAAATCTTATGGTTCAAAATTATTTCATCAAACTTTGGATTTGTTTTCTGATTTGTATTCTCAAGTCGATTTAAATGGACCTAATTGTTTTGTTAAAAGGATTGAAGAATTAAAACATCAGTATGGTTTGAGTAAAGAAGAATCAATCTTTTTAGCTGGTGCAATGGTTAATTAAGCTTTTCTTTTATAAAAATCATAAATAAAAAAGATCATTTATATCTGACTTTCAATTTTGGATTTCCTTTTTTTCCAAAAAAAAAAAGTTTGGAGCAGGTAGTGATACAACCTCAGATTTCATTGAAACCTTTATTTTTATCATGACACTTTATCCTGAAACATCTAAAAAGGCTCAAATCGAACTAGACGAGATCGTAGGAAAAGAAAGATTACCTGATTTTGAAGATCAAGAGAAACTAATTTATTGTCAAGCATTGATTCGAGAAGTGATGAGATGGCGTACAGTGATTCCAGGAGGTAAGATTCAAGTATCATCCCAAACTTTACCCCCCCCGCCCAAAAACAGATGACCATTAAATTGACTTTGGATTTTTTGGATGAATGTTGTTTATAGGACTTGCTCATATGGTTACAGAAGATGATATATACGAAGGATATCAAATTCCAAAAGGATCATCCATACTAGCAAACCATTGGGCATTACATCTTGATCCAAAAACATATGTAAATGCAGAAAGATTTAATCCGAATCGGTTTATTGATCCTAACACAAATCGATTGATTGGAACTCAATGGAATGAAAAAGGTCATCATTCTTTTGGTTTCGGTCGTAGGATTTGTCCTGGGATACATATTGCTGAAAGGTAACGTCAAAGCAATCATTCTGATTTTTTTTTTCAACATCTTTTGAACTTGAAGAATTGGAAAAGATTAGGTGTTGAACATTTGAATTCATTATGGATTCTATTTCATTAAAATCTGTTCTTTTTCTTTGGAAATCAATAGATCAGTTTATATTACTGCGATTCGAATCTTATGGTCATTAGAATTCGATTCATCTTCTTCTACTTCTAATTTAGATCCAAATCAATTCTCAACTGGATTCTCATCACATCCACTTGATTTTCAAACTAATTTCAAACCAAGAGGTGATTGGGTACGAAAAGTTATTGAAGAAGTTGTTGAACATCATGGATTAGGTGTTATGGAAATTTAAAATCAGATTGATCATCTTTTTGTTTGGTTTGGGTGAAGAAGTTGGAAAGGGTTTAAGTTTTGAAGAAAATCAGGTAGGTTTGTATTGGGTTATATTGTTTTCATAACTTGTTTGTCTTGTATTGACTTTGTAGGATTATTTGTATAAGTGTGAATTGTGATGATTTGAATGGAAATCAATTTGATCAAGCATGAAAGTGCAGCTTAAGAATTTTGAAATGTTGAAAATGAAAATTGTTCAAGGGCTGTAAGTTATACTAACCCAACAAATATCAAACAGCTGATGATGATGACTGCATTGGTCCTCATGGAAAATCATTAAGTACTCCAAGATCATTTATTTGTTATGCAAAACCAAAAGCCTACAGAGAAAGGACTATAAGTTTAGTCAAATTTAAGGTTAATAGGCTCTGACAAATCATTTTGATCATCCATTTGGATTCCAGTGTATCTTCAGATACCTTGAAATCTTAGTGCTTGAAAAGTTACAACACCTCTACAAACATTTTCACACCAGGATGGATTGCTGATTTCTTCCAAACCATGAACTATATCCTCTGAAGATCTTCTCAACAGTTTTCTGGCATTCCGAGTTTCAACACATCAAAAACTGTGGAGTGATTCTGTTGCAAGTGTTGACACCTGAACCTGTGTAAGTTTTTGTTGAACTCATTTGTAATCAAGTATATGATATTCACTAACTTCTACTCTATATAGATTCAAACCTGACAATGCCAGAGATAGATCTTAGAATATATTATCAAGAATGTATCCCAAGACAATAAGCTATAAACACTTGAACTTTCAATACGATTATGCAATCACAATCATGATGATTGCCTCCCACTTACCATTTCTTTCATCTCACCTGTTCATGATGTCCTTTCTGTGAAAAAGCTTGTTACATACAATCATTCCCATACTCATTTATAATAGCCTACACATATGATCTTTTGATCTCTTTCTTTTCTCTTCAAATTTCTTTGTCAGAAACATATCATCTGTGTAAAATAATCCCAACTGGCACCAATCTAATTTCATACTCCATGTATTGATTATATTCTTACCAAGCCATCACCTGTCAAATCAATGTACATACTATTTTTCACACCCTTGTTGTTAATTATAAGGTATAAAAATAAAATACTACACTGTCTATATTACTATCCAAGCTCAAACAATTACCTCTGAAAACCACACTCTATCTTCCCTCCAGACGCCACTTAGGTCTTTTCCCTCCTTTTACCTTTCTAGAAATTTTCCAGTATCCTAGTAGTAGTACATCAATTTTTTTTAAAATCTCATTATCATTCTCACAAACCAGTTCCTAACTCAACCAATGTTCTTCCTTTTACTCTGAACAAAACTTTCCTTGCTTTAGAGCCAACAAAATGATGACCAAGAAAATGAGTTTTATTAAGATTAATTAAAGTGTACTTTAGTAAACCATTCATGAAGAGTTGAATTCATTTAGGAAAGTCAAAGTAGTATTGATGATTTTGATCTCCAAAAACCAAATTTTTGAAACCATGAGTTTGAGTAAGATTGATCAAATAGCTGAAAAGCAATAAGACAAAGAAAGATCAATTGAATATTTTGATTTCTTTATAAACTCCATGAATCCCTTCTAGGTGTAGTGACAATAGCCTACCTGCCTGCTTCAATTCTTTAAACATTTATGAAAGTTTAGAATTGGAAAGAAAGATTTGATATTGAAAACTTCATAAGAGACCTGGTAAGGGTTCCTTGGAAAAAAAGACAGCAAAACTGATCAAGGACAAAGATCACCACTATCAAAACTTGATAAATCACCAGACCAAAATCTTGCAGTAGAAATCGAATTCAAGCCCTCTGCAGGCTCTGATGAGGGACACAAACAGTTAGTGATGGTTTTGTTAAGCTATGTGGGAGCAGTTGTAAATCATTTCAAGAAAACTTCATACAAACTCAATCCTGACTTTTATTTCATTTCATTTTATTTTGTTTTGCATAAGAAAATCCAAAAAACTCAACCCAACCAAAAACACAAAGTAAACACATCAAAAGTAAACAAATCTAAAGGACCAAAAAACACAAAAACACATCAAACAAGAATCATGTTTTTTTTTTCTTGGTTTTGTGATCATCACAACCAATCTAAAGAGAGAGAGAGAAAGAGAGAAAAAAAAAACTTAAACTTTCAACAACTTGAATCATTTTTTTTTTGGTTGAAAACTGTATTACAGTTTTTTTTTAAAGAAAACAAGTTAAAAAATAATCTTCATAAAAACAAAAAAATGGTTTCATAAAAGAAAGAAAAAAAAGTTTCATAAAAACAAAAAAGAAAGAAAGAAAAAAAATTGTAAGTGAAATCAAACCAAGAGAGAGAAAGAAAGAATGAGTATATATATGAAAAAGAGATCTAAGTTCATCAAAAAAAGAAAAAAAAAGAATGATCAAATCAAAAAAGAAGGAATGTATAATCAAGAAAAAAAGCCAATTTTGAAATTACAAATCCTCAAGACCTTCTAAAAAAAGAAAAGAAAGAAAAACAACAAATCCAATACAAAAAAAAACACACAACAAGAAACACATCATCATGTAAAAAAACAATCCAAATTCCGAATCCATTTCTTTTTCCCCCCCAAAGAAATTCAACCAATCAATTACTCTAACATTGGATTTCTAAAGTAGGTCGACCTCTTCCAAACCCTTCCTGATCATTAACCTGAACATTAGTATCCTTCAAACAAACTTTTTTCTCATTCTCAATTAAATCAGTACCCATCAAATCAAGATTATTAGTAGGAGTACCATGTTCAAGTTCAAGCTCCTGATCATCCTTCACTGTTACTTTGATATCCTCTTCTCCATCACCATGATTGACATCCGGAATCGGTGGTTGATCAGTTTCGATCATCTTACTAATCGGTTGTGAAGGTGAAACCAAACTACCAAACAATTTTCCAATCCGAAATGAAGAAGGTGAAGTTTGAGACGAGTCTACTAAACTTTTACGACGACTCCAAGGAGTAGAGAAACTAAAGCTAGGTGTATGTGAGACTTCATGATGATGATGAGTGGATCCAGCTGCTAAGATGGGTGTACTTTGGTTTGATGAAACTGGATCGGTGCTTGGATTGATCGGGATTGGAACGGATGCTTGTCTATGTAATAATAGGTTTAAACCCCATCGTGGAGTGCTTGGTTTGGGTTCTGATATCATCTTTTTCATTAAGCTTGGGTCCATGGTTTGTTTGAATGCTGCAAGGGTAGTTTCAGAAACAAGTCGAGCTTCTTGACTAAAACATCAACACATTCAAAAGAAATGTCATCAATCTTTCAAAAAAAAAACTTTTTCAGGAAAAAGATGAAACTTGGACTAATGACTTACCATTCTGCTAATTGCGCTTCTAAAGTAGACACTCTAGCACGAAGGCTTTCAACTGCTTGACAATCAACTGGACATTCTTCCACTGGATTGGTATCATCAGGTAAACTAGGAGATCCAGGAGTGGGAATGGATGAAGTGATAGATGAAGGTGTCATGCAATCACTTTGACTTTGATTAGATTCACCAAGATCAGGCGTTTGTCGATCGATCATAGCCGATGGATGATCCGAAACAAGTGATTTGATCGATTCGCCACCAACCTATAAAACCCCATCCCAAAACAAAACCAAAGATCAGATAAAACAAAAACAGATAATCCAGGAAACTCGAAAGCATGAGACGAACAGTAGAAGGTGATTGAGAAGGATACAATTGAAGATGTAAACGACAAATCGTACGACGCGTGAGAATAAGTTCTTGATTCAAGTGTTGTAAAGTATTTTCAGTTTCTACTTTAAACTGATCACATTCTTCAAAATTATGACCATTCAAAAGCAACTTAGTATGTTCACGTAAACAAGCCAATTCGTCTGCTGTATCGATCGCCACCGATTGTAAACTAGCATGGGTGGCTCTAAGCATTCCGAAATCGTATGAAAGTTTATCATATTTATCAATCTGTTCTGCTAGATCTGTTGCTAATTTTCCAATCACTTCGTTTCTTGCACTCTCATTCGTTTCCGGTTCGGGTTCTGTTCCATGGAATTCATTGAGTTTTGATGAAGGTCGTGGTGATATGTCTTGCTTACTGGCCAACGTATCAGTTTCGGAATCATAACTTGCTTGTTCACTTGAAGATGATGGATGTGAGTCTAATAGATTAGATGATAGATTGGTAATCTCATCTGGTCCAAGTAACGAACCCTCAAGAACGATAGGTGGAGAGAGTAAAGCATTTGAACTTGAATTGCTATTACTGGTAGGTTCTAATTCGGGTGGCTAAAAGAACAAAATACAGAATTAGAAACATCAAAACCAATCATGAAGATGAGAAGATTGAGAAGCTTACAGTAGGTTTATGACGATTTTTCAATTCTTGAAACAAATCAATGGTAGTAGATTGATGAAAAGTATAAGATTCATCAGTAGGAGTCGACTGAAGTGAATGATTAGAAAAATCAAATGAAGATAATCGATCATCATCTATATCTTTTTCTTTTTGTCTTAAAGATTGAAGTTTGTTTACAAAGTCTGATTTTGTAAACTGATTTGAGTTTGGCAGATCATGAGAAGTGGTAGTGTTTAATTTGATAGATTGATTAGAAGAAGAAGAAGAAGAAGAAGAAGTAGGTGATGAATAAGAATTGAATGAGTTGTTTGAAATTGGTGAAGAAGGAAGTGGAATTGATTCGGGTTTAAGAGAAGATTCAGTCTCAATCGAATTTAAATTTAATGAATTCTCCATCTCTTTCGGTGGATGTTCTTCTCTTTCTGTTTCTGTTTCGGTTTCTGATTGTTCTGTTTCTGATTTAGATGAAAGTTGATAATTTTGATTCCTAGGATGGTGATGATGAAAAAGAAAGGATGATATAGATAGATAGATAGTATAGTAGTCTTTAAATGAAAGGAATTTGATTTTCTACTTAAATCGGTCAACAACAAAATCAAAATTAACTTCCAGTTGCTTTTACAATTCCTTTTTTAAAAAAAAAACTTCATTCAACACGAAGGACGCGATTTATAAATATAAAAAAAAAAAGAAAACTTAAACTACAAATTAAATCAAATGACGTAAATCAAACTACAGTTTGGTACCTAAATCTTACATATCCACATTTGAACATTTTCTCATTTGAACAATCCAACTTGCCTTCTTTCTCAAATCAAATCCATTCAATCAAACCAAAAGCTTTTCACTATTTTACATTGCCCGCCAAACTTGAGCAAATTGGCGCGGAATTCTTTCCAAGCTTTGTGCAATTGACTGTACAATATATATTTCTCATACAAACATACTAAAAAACCAATTGATTTCTTTCATTCACAACCCCACTTCATTTCTCACACTAGTACACACTTACGGTACTCAAAGCTACATAGTTACACGTATATAGTTGTCGTATATACTTTTTTTTGGCGGGGAAAATAAAACGAATATACTTTTGGACTCGTTTTCCCAAACTTAACAAAGTCCCTCGCCGAAAAGGCCCGAGCCCCAGCGAGGGACTTACCCCATAAACTGGAATCCTGGCGTGAGAAGTGAGCTGTATTTGCTCCAAATTCTCTACATCTGTTTGTTTTTTTTCTCTCTCAACAAACATGTCTTGCAACAAAGAAAGAAGAAAATGGCAAGGGACCATTACATATGTACCAATTGCAAACTCCTTTCTATCTTTCTGGGAAGTTATCTTTTTGAGTAGTTGAAGATCAATTATTTTGACCGCTTTCTGAGAAATACAGGCTTTGAGCCGGCTCGCCGCTGCTGAAAATTGAAAACAGACCCATTTTTGATTCCCTAGTAGCCCAAGTTCCAGACCAGATTTGGGGAAGCTTGCAATTGGCTCATATGTAATGAATATTTGCCATCATCCTTTTATTTACCTCCGAGACCTGTTTATTTAGGAACAAATCAAAGAATTCAAAGTAGCGTTTTTTGAGCCAATACAGGCTACTTCTCACGCCAGGATTCCAGTTTATGGGGTAAGTCCCTCGCTGGGGCTCGGGCCTTTGGCGAGGGACTTTATTAAGTTTGTCGTTTTCCCCGCCAAAAAAAACTATGTAGCAAAAAGTATGTACGCGTACATACTTGCTTTGAGTACCGTAACTGTACACCTGAAGGCTACATGCACCAATCTTTCCAACAAACTAAGGCCAAACTTTCAAGGCGGGAAGAGGCGGGATCTGAGAAACATTTAAGCGCTTAATATGTAGCCAAAACCTTGAAGAATTGGGGTTGATTTCCAAAAAGAAAACAAAAGTGCACACTCGTTCTCCAGGGAGAAGCCTTCTCCTACTGCGCCCTAGTTTCATTTGATGCCTTTTAAGAAGTACACATACTCCCAAGAAGTTATACCAAGTCATAAAAAACCTTTCAAAACCCTCAATTCTTGAATACATAAAGTATTCTTCACTCTTACAAATATACGAAAAAAATGATTTCCTCATATTTATTTATGAAACAAAACATAATGATTCTCAAAAGACCTCTATTTCCTCAAATCATAAATCAATCAAATTTCTTTTCTTATCGTTTAAATCGTATTATATATTTCTAAAATCAAATCAAATCAATTCATGTACGTACAAAAATAAATCCAAAAGAGAAAAAAAAACCAAAACGATTTATATAAAGAAAATTTTTTCAAGTGTGTCCTTCTTACATTTGATCATAAAAAAAAGATAATAAAAAAAAAGATAAATGGTATACAACATGTTTTTTGATTTTTTTGATTTCTTGTTTATCAAGATCAAAATAAATAGAAATCAAAATCAAAATCAAAAAAGTTAGAAAATAACAGAAAGAGTAAGTGAAAGAAGAATCAAGGTTGTGATTTTTTTAAAAAAAGAAAAATCAAATAAAAACGAAGAAAACAATTCAAAAAAAAGAAAAATCATCTTGTATATATACACAAACAAAGCATCTTTTTCATCTTTTGTTTGCTTTCGAAAAAGAAATATATATTTACAAATCAAAAAAAACCATCAACACACTTGAAAGTGCATCATCTCAAAACCTTTTCCTGTTCATCCAACAAATACATTTCCAATTCTTGCCAACCTCCCGAGTTCCTAACCACAACTTTTTCCTCATGTTGACCTCTATGTTTAAGAACCAACTTACACATCATCGGTTTACTTTCTTTTTCTTGACATTCATCTTTCAATAAAAATATAAATCGATATCTTGCTTGATCTCCAATCCCTCCTCCTGAACTTTTCACTTTTTCTGCATTTCTAGATAATGGTGGATCAATTCTTCTTAATCCGATATCTACCATTTGTTCAGTGACTATCTTCCATACCATTCGATCTAATGGATCATATGGATTATGATCATATATCACTCGTTTCATCATTCGGTCTTCTCTTCTAAAGTTACCTTGTGATTCGGTTGATTGTCGTCGACTTGGATGCGTTGGAAGTTTGGCTATATCACTATAAGTAGGACTAAATGGTCCTGGACCTGAACCCATCGAAGACGGTGTCAACAACGTCTTAGGAGTAGTGTGTCTTCCGAACCCAGGCGTTGCACATCGAGAGGTAGGTCGTGGTAAACGTGAGGTCCCACCAGGCGTTTCACATCGAGAAGGTGGTCCTGCGCGATGCCCTCGTGGATAACTTGATGAGGAAGAGAGTTCACCAGTCGGTTGACTTATGATCGCATCCCACACTGGAGCAGGTATCCGAGTGTTCCGAGACGGTGGGCGAGGTCTGCAGGCCATTGACATAGATGTGAGAGCTGAGCAATCACTCCGTCCAGCCGCTGAACCAGGCCGTGCGTAGCTATGCGCAAAGGAAGCCTCGGGAGGCATACTACCAACTCGATGGTTCAGGCGAACCCCACCCGAAGAAGATGCCCAAGTAATCGAATTACTAGGTGGCATGTGTGAAAAGCGTGATGGGCAGCGTGATGAGGCGCGACCAGGGACAGGAGTAGCCGTTGATCGCCTTATAGGAGTGTCTAGAGACTCTGGCGGGTCCTCCATTCGCTTCAAGGAGATGTTCCATCTAGGTTTTTCTTGCTTAGTGGCTGGCGCTGAGCGGAACGGATGTTGGACGCGGGTTTGATAAGAAGGTGTAGTTGCACCAAGGTCGGAGGAGATATGGCTGCTTCTTGGATGGAGTATACTGCGCACACGACGTAAGTCGCGTGGTGCAGAGCCCGAGGTAGATGAATGAGGATAGGTGGGATTGGATGGAACTCGACTCGAACTGGCCTGACCACCTTGCGAAGACGCTAGACTGGGCGCTACACTTGGAGTGAAAGGTCGGCTTTTGCTTGTAGTGATCTTGGAGGCAAGCTTTTTGAAAGGTGATAGAGCGGTAGGAGAGTGCTTTGAGAGAAACTGAGGGGAACTTGGAGTGAGGTATTGTGTAACAGAATTGAAGGCCCGGGATGTTCGAGTGGAACTGGCGTTAGACTTGGGAGTGTAGTTTGACATGGCCACTGGAGAAGCTGGTACATCCGATAGCTCTGCAGGAGGTTGTCCATCGGACTCAATTGTTTGTCGCAACACAGTCTCCGTTCGACTCAGTTCGGCATCTGTTTGAATGATCCGTTGCTGAATGTTTTGGAATCGCGTTCGCATATCAGCATACCTTCTCAAGACTTCACCATTTTTAGTGCTACGGTTCTCAATGCCCTTGACAAGTGTGGTGAGAACACGCTCGCATGAGGGAACCTGGATAGATTTGCGAAACGAAAGAGTCAGTGGGTGTTCATGTGCGAGAGCAGGATCGAATCATCATCTTACATAGTGCTTCTTTTTGGCGACAAAGTTCTTGCAAAGTACCAAGTATCGATCCAAGAGGTCTTGAACAGCTTCAGGGGCCATGACAAGTGAAGATGAGTCACATAAGACTTCCACTTCAGATCCATCACTGCTTCTAGAATGACGACTTGCTCTTTTGTGACGACGAGTATGATCAGGAGAACAACACTGTTTCTTAAAGTCCCACATAAACTCTTGAGACGCTGTCAAAACCTTTTCTAAGCTTTCCATCATTTCCTCCGCTTGAGTGCTAACCGTTCGGAAGACAACCAACCATTTGTCTTCTTTTAATTCATCTCGAAGTAATTCTGTATCTTTTTGAATCTTGCTCCAATCAGACATCAAACCATTATACTTTTGCTTCAGAAAATCAACCTCTTCTGCACTTCGTATATCTTTGAATGGAGTTAAAAGGTCTTCTAGATGTGCCACTTCAACAGTAGTTTCTTCTACTTTTTTATCCAGTTTCATTAATGCACGATCCACCGGTGTTAAGGCAGATGCCCCAGCTGTTCTCATTGCGCTAGTCCTCGCAGATTGAGCAGATACCTGTGTACTAGTAGTAACAGATGGACTTCCTTCGTTGGGATTGTGTCCTCTTGTTCGGGAGTCACTGTTGAATGCGTTAGAATGACGTAGTTCCTAAGAAAACAAGAAAGACGAGAGTTTAGTCAAGAATCATATGATAGACCACATCACCCATTGTATTTACCTGAACTTCAAATAGTGCCAATGCTACTTCTTGAATCATCATTCCTACCTCGGTCATCCTGGCACTAGTAGCCAAAACACTGATCGAATCAAAAGGCGATTGAATGATGTCAGGGCTAGAGTGAGGCGATTGAGATGAAGAGGAGAGGTTGGTGTCAAGTTTCGATGGTAGTTCATGTTGAGAGCGTTTAGGTGTATCTAATGGGATAGGTGATGATAGCTCAAATTTAGCATCAAGAGGTGAAGAGTCCATAACAGCTTCGACTAGTGATTTCGGCTCTTGTTCTAGAAAGATATCCTCAATGACAGGTTGATCGGGTCGAATAAGGTTTTCTGTGGTCGGGTCGAGATCTTTAGGTTTGTTGGCTGAAGGGTTATCAGAACCATTGATTGAAAATGTCCCATTGGAAGAGTTTTGCATGTGAGATGTGGTGGTGGAATCGGAATCGGAGCGTGGCTCATCTAGAGTACGATTGAGTTCCGGTTGAGGCAATGAATCATTCATAGTCTGCTGAGCAAAATCATCGATGAGTGATGGTATCGGATAAGGCAAGTCGAGTGCTGCACGAAACTTCTTTCCAGAATCTTGTGAAGCCGCGGGAGTTTCAGACTCAGGAAATGATGCTAATGACGTTGTAGGACATGGTTCGAGAGTTGATCGACTCGGAAAGGAGAGCATCTGTCGGAAGTCCGAGTCGAGTTTTGGAGAATCCGGTGTGCCTTGAAGGTCCGGTGAGGTGGAAAGATTGGGTAATGAAGGATAATCAGAGCAATGTTCGGGAGTATAAGATGTTCTTGAAGAAGAAAGGTGACTGGATGGCCTGTGATTTGAAGAATGTGTGTTGAATTGAGAAGAGGCGAGAGGAGATCGATTTGAGGATTGAATGGAAGCAAAGAGAGGGGTATAAGTCAAATCATCATCAGTATGAGAAACCACAGGAGAGATGATGTTGGACATGATGTTGATGATGAAGGAGAGTTGAGAAAAATGTATCAAGATAAAGTTGAGGGTTTGGAAGATCTTAGAGATTGTTTTGTTATGGGATATTGAGATTATGTGATAGAGGCTGAACGGTTAAAACATCATCCCTGCAAGGGAAGCAAGGGCAAAAGTCGTGGACTCGTGATGTGTAAAAAACACCTGAACAGGCAAAATAACCTTTCACTCCTAATGTGAAGTAAGCTTAATTGTAGGAGACTAGTGGTGATCAACCAGAGGTTTCATACACAAACCAGTTCTGATCTGCAATGAAACTCACCACTGGCACGGCGATATGGACCAGTTGAATTTTGGGTGGATTCTGGTCTGATCAACCAGTACACGAGGGTATGGAATTTTCTCTGACAAAAGTGGAAGGATGTAGGAAAGATGATGGATAGGAGAAGTAATCAAAGAATGTTCTCATTCGAGTGAAAAGGACTTGTTAATAAGATAGATCAATTGACCGGAATCAGTCTGAGGCCCATCAGAAAAGTTATGGCCCAGGCAGTTGACAAGGCGGTATTGTGAAAGATGAGTGATGAATATGAAATTCAAGTGTATGGCCATGCAAGGAGAAAAGGAAAAGAAGAAATTGAAATTGAAGAGAGTCAAGAGAAAGGAAAACTGACTGAGAACTGTGTCTACGATCGAATTGACTCCTACGGTCATCCGGAAGACGATTGGGAGTATATGAAAGAGAAGACAGATTCGAACCATTAGAAGCCACACGCTCAAAGAGAGCAGCAGTTTGTTTAACCCGATTTTGAGAACCTTGACCAGGTAGAGAGATTGGAGGTTTTCGATTCGAAAGTGAAGGTGAAGAGTAATTTGAAAGTGAAGGTGAAGGTTGAGAGCTTGCAGTTGGTTTGAGAGGTGGTAAGATCGGATGAAGATTTTCGAAATGAGTGAATGCCATGATGGTGATGTTGATGATGAAGAGGGAAGAGGGAAGATGAAGATGATTAATGAGGGTATAGAATTCCACAAGGTTGATTATTAATAATGGGATTGGTTAGTGTTATTATCGAAAAAGGGAATGATCAAATGAATTTATTGACGAAAATGATAATCAACTTGATTTTAAATCTCAAAATCCAATCCAAGTTTGTTTTGAACCAAGATAGTCAAAGTCAAAATCAAAATCAAAATCAATTGTACTTCTAGAACCAATTCAAATCAATTTAAATTTCAAAAATGGTTAATCGAATCAAAAACATCATTCTTTACAATTCCTTTGAATTTTAATTGGTACCATACCGACCATACCCTAAACTGATCAATTCAATCCTATACATCATCTCTTTCCCATTCTTCTTTCCTTTTTAAGTTCTGGGTGATCTTGACGACCTAAAGGCTATACATACATACCTTCATTAAAGATTGACTACAATTTAGTTCAACTTCAAAATTTCAATTTTGCGTCCAAGAGATATCTTGATTTTAATCTGAACTTACTTTTATCTATTCTCAGACTTACCAACAAGACTTTCAAACTCTTCTCGGATTGGGTTTTCTCTGATTTTAATCTTGGCTACGTATTGAAACTCAGTCAATTAAACATCATAAGAAATCATCTGATCGGCCATTCAAGACAGCTTCATCGATCGTGCTGACCAGCAGGCTGGCTTGCCGCCGCAGCTCTGGAATGACCTGCAACTCAACCTCAACACATCGTGGGTACATGGGTATGTACAGGCTATTCGCGCGGCTGCAAGATGAATCCTTTAACAGGATTTTGATCAAGAAAACGATCTTGCATACCAACACCAGAGGGATACTGTAAGGTCTTTGTGGACCTTCACTAAAAGACTTGATTCTCTCTGGCACGACTCTCTCGAGGAGCAAGTACTTGGGACTTCGGTTTATATTTCAAAGAGTCTAACTCCAAACAGTCCCAAATGAGGCTCTCGAAAGAGTCAGCGACACACCAACAAACAAGAAGAAAAACCCCCAAAGGGAAAACAAAGAGAAAACGTGCTGAGCTCACCTAACAGTCCCGAATGAGGATCTCGAAAGAGTAAGGACTGTTTGGAGTTCGGCGTGGAGGATAGAATGTATACAACAATTGCCTAAACCCATAATGTACCCCCTAAGCCATGATCTGCTGTGTACTCCTTACACCCTCCCTTCCTAGAAGAAATGATTATCCTCCTGAAACCAAAAAGAGAAAAATAGAAAACACACACAGAGAGAGAAAGGACAAAAAAAAGGAAAAAACGGCATGACACGCCCTTGAACTGACCATAACTCGTCCCGAGAAAAGCAAAGGTGAGAAAAAAAACCAAGTACATCAAAACTTCATGACTATTTTGTAAAAGAATTCAAACGCAAAACGGAAGTACAGCTGTTTGCATAAAAAATGCCGTCGCCCTTTTTTATTTTTTATTTTTTTTAAGTTGCACTAAAAATTACCAACATAGTTCTACATAAAGAGCAACTGTAGTTGATCATGATGTGCTGAATTTTAAAGGTTGTATGACATATGTGCAGATCCCCTTTTTTGATCTCGTCCCACCTTTTGACTTGTCTTCACCCCTCTCCGATTACATACACACCTTCTACCCTCCCCGATTTGGATTACTCACGGTGGGGTAATGTGAGCGCGCCAGTTGGACATTGTGGTCTTGAGGCGGGATGCAAAGTCTAGCCAGAGGGGTTAGAAGTGCTTCAGAATGAAGCTCAAAACGCTTTCATGCCCTATTGGTGCCGGGTTGTCCATTGTGATGCTGATCTTTGGTTGCAACCATACCAAAGGTTGAGGAAGCTTGTGCATTTTGGATACAAAGGCAGCAATACTTGTGATCTTTCAGGATCTTTGGCAAACTTTGCACCCTTGAGAAAGTCGAGTACAGCCTACCACAGCTCTTATGTAGAATCTACGTTGGTAATTTTTAGTGCAACTTTGAAAAAATAAAAAAATAAAAAAGGGCGACGGCATTTTTTATGCAAACAGCTGTAAGAAAAGAAAACAAAAAAAGAAAAAAAAGGAAATAGAACAGAAAAGTTAAAGAAAAGGATAAAAGAACAGAACACAAAAGGAAATCACTAAAATCCAAGGTGATGGTTGATTCATTGTCACGTCCTATGTCTCCTCGTTGTTTCCAAGTGTATCTGTAACAGGCCATTGACGTGGTGCTCACAGAGTGGCCAAGGTATTGTTTTTGACAAGGTGTGTAGTAGGACGGTGGTGGCATACTAAAGAAAGGCACTTACTTTTGGGTGTTATTCCCTAACTTCCAAGTCCTCTGTTTTGCCATGATAAGCCTTCAGTTTCAACATATGAAAGACTGGAAAGGACATGTTATTTTCCTTCAACTGTAGTCGGAAATTCTGTCCTCCGTTCAAGCTCTCCAACACTTGATAAGGCCTGTTGAAACGCGCGCGTAGTTTGCTGAGGCCCTTTGACTGCCCTCCTACGACTTGCTGCTGATCAGTACTATCCACCATGACCCAACTCCCCACTCTAAATGACTCCCTTCTGCGTCGCCAAAGGTTGTAATGAGCGCCTTGATCCACTTGGCTACACCACAAACAGTGTCAGCTTGACACTAAAGATGGGCTGAGAAAACCTTCGAAGTCAAGCTACGAATACTTACAAAATGTATTTTATCGAGCAACCGACTAAATCTTCGTTGCTGAGGGAAATTAGTTTTCAAATCTTTGTAAGTAATTTAAGACTATAATTGTTCTTTATAGCTGTCTATGGTGTGGAATGAATACCACCGCCAGTTTACTAATAAGTGCACTCACTTATCAATCTGCCAAGGTGATTACGATAATCGTAAAATGAGCCTGGGTGACGCTTTAGCGTTAGTCTGATAAAACAAGTTTTTATCAAAAAGGATTTCTAACTGAGTCTGAGGAACTTTAGTCGAGTGATGATAGCCAAACGATCTTTAACGTCCTAACGATGAAGTAAAGGTAGAAATGGAGGAATCAGAGAAAAAAGGAAAAGAAGTCTGGACAAAAGATCTGATAAGCGATGAAGAAGTACAGAGTAAGTCTTTAAAGTATCGCTAGTAGTCTTTTAAACAGAGAGTAAGAATGTAAAGTTTTTGTTTTAAACTAAATGTTCTAAAAATTGATAAAGGTAAAAAGGAATGGGATTCTTCTTCTTCTTGAGGTGAAATAGCTAACTATTTAAATGTAAGAAAAACCTCTTGGTGTCGATATGGTAGTTAGTTCTTAAATTAAGGGTTTTTCGATAGTACGTCATAAAAACATTGTTTAGACCAGTCCCTGATAATGTAACAGGGTTAACCGGGGTATGATTCGATACGCCTGGTTTGGTCTAGTTTTTGTTAACTTCGGTGGTTGCCTTCCTTGAAGGTAGGTAGGGTTTTTTCTTTATGTATTTAGTTTACTAAGTAAAAGATAAGTTCTTTTACCTTTTCCACATTCTTAACTGTTTTTATTAAGACAGTTAATAATACTGCACTCTTGAAACTCGAGTGTAAGAGGTGTCTTGGTTATATATTTGTATATATGTATTTGTGTTTTTCTTTTTAAATAATATAGTGATAGTATGTTTGTTAGTACGTTAGAGTGTTATTTGCCCAGCAAAAACCTCTTCCGGCTGACAAACAGTCTTGCCAAGCGGCCCATTCCAATTGCCGTTGTTGAATGCATTGCAGTGTCACATCTTTGTCTTCCTCTTCTGCAGGGAGTTCAACCGGGAAATGTTGTGGAATTTGACCGTAAACAAAGTGGAACGGTGAGACTCCAGTCGCCAAGTTCACTGCCGAGTTAATGGCAAACTCAGCTGCTGGTAGCAATTCAAGCCATTTCCTGTGCTTTTCTGCAGCTCGGTGTTGAAGTATTTGACCAACTGTTTTGTTGGACCTCTCACTTCTGCCATTGGCTTGAGGATGGTAAGCCGTTGATAGATTGATGCGCACTCCTAAAAGGTGATGGAGTTGTTGCCAGAATTGAGATGTCCATGCCTTGTCTTGGTCGCCAATAATAGATTCCGGTAGACCTAACATAGATGACCAAGCGCCAAATAAACAAGTTGCTGATTTCTCGGCTGTGTCTTGCTGTGAGGCTGGGATCAATCTCACAAAACCCGTTAGCCTGCAGGTACATGTCAAAATCATGTCATAACCAGACACGTTTGGGAACAGTCCAACAAATTCAATTGCAATTGACTGCATCAGCTGGTAGGGTATTGGATTGTTCTGGAGTTTTCCCGTTACTTTTGCCATCTGCGCCTGCCTCCTTTGACAAGCGTTGCAAGATTTCCGCTGTGTTTTGACGTCTTTTGCCATGCTTGGCCAGAAGAACGTATGCTGGAGGTGAGGCAGGGTCTTTACAGTCCCCAGATGTCCCAGCGCCTCGTGGGCTTGGGCTGTGAAGTCCTGCCAAAGGTTTCAGTGACACGGTATCACCAGCCGCCTGTCCAAGTACAGCAGACCATCTTTTTTGATGCAGTTGTCTCTTAAAGGTAAGACCTTTTGTAGTTTCACACAAAAGGTGTCAAGCTCATACCCTTCACGGATGTCAATCAATTCTTTGTCATTCAAGGCAGTGTGAACTTCACAGGAGGCGGCTTTGTCATGTCAAGACAGCGTGTCAGCAACCGTGTTATCTTTACCTTTGAGATACCAGAAATCTGGATCAAAATGGGATAAGGTTTCTAACCACCTCACTTGACAACAACTTAAATTGTGTTGTGTCAGTAGCATTGTTAGTGAGTGGTGATCCAACATCACATTGACACACATTCTGAGTAATAACAACCTTCATTTGTCAAGCGCATTGATGACCACTAGCAATTCTTGTTTGTGGACGGGATAGTTCTGCTCCGCAGTGTTCATTGTTTGACTTTCATAAGCTATTGGCAAAGTGGTATCCCACTTTGCTCCTTGGA